GGCAGGTGCTGAAGGTGACATGAAGCAAGCTGTAAGGTGGACAGCCGGTGGGATTACTCTGGTGTTTATCACATTATGAGGATATGTAAATGCCAATGAGATCAGGGCCCCGCATGTTTGGCCTGACACAGAGTAAAGGACAGGGCCTGCCCTAAAAAGCTTAAGCCTAAATCTGAATCAAGAGCTCCTGGTGGGTTCAGGCAGCTGTGGGGGGCAGGCGGTTTCCCCGCTCAGTGCGTGGCATTTCTCAGGGCGCAGTGTGGGGGTGCAGGAGGCAATTGTTTGGCCAAGTCAGGCCCCTTCTGCCTTGGCTGGCATCTCCTTGCCTGCCCCAGCAAACCTTGGCCATGGGCAAGGAGGTGTTAATTTGTGTGAGGCTCCTCAACGTGGGGGAGCTCTCTGGGGTGGTGGTGCCCCCCTCCCTGCCAGGCTCTGGTGCTCTCTTGCTGAAGGACCCTCACGTGGTGCCATGACTTCTCTTCCCTCCTCTTCCCTGCTGCCTACAGAAAGCCTGGTGCCTGTGCCCCACCGAGGACGCAGGGTACGAAACACCCGCACGGTGTTCTTGTCACCTGCACAAGCCAGTTTGGATCCACGAGGCACTAAGAGTTGCCCAGAGGTCACCTTTGGAGATTCGGGTCTATACCCACAACCAGGGCTGGGACTAATGGGGGCACCCGAAGGTGGGAGCTGGACTTGCTTTTCCAGGCACCCATAAAGACTTTGAGTGCGGAGCCTGGGAGTCCACCAAGCTGTTGCAGGAGCCATCGCAGGCACCATCGCAGGCCTCGTGAAGGAAGGCATTACATGCGTTTGTGTGAAGATTGAAAACATCCCAGCCACGTTTGCGTGTGAATGGGGATGCTGAATTTCATGGCATAACCAAACACTCATCAACTGCTGCCTGGTGTCTCTTGGCTTTTCTTCCAAAGCCTCTAAGCTCGTCCACTCTCAGAAAAAAGAGGTGGATTAGTGTCCTGCAGGCCCTGGGCTGTGTAGCTCCTGCCCAGTGCTCGCAAGCAGCCCCTTTGGGGCTAAACGTGTTCCTCCCACCTTCCCCAAGGTGATGGCACTTGTCTATCCTTGCTTGGCTGCTGCCTGGCTCACCCGTGCTACAATCCCAACCGCCTCCCTGGTCCCCGAGTCCCTTGGCCACCCCAGGAGCTTGGCGCTCGCTTTGCATAACCAGCAAAGCTTATTCTAAATCCTGCTAAGTCAGCCTGGGTGGTGGCAGGGAGCCAGAGGGTGACAGGGGGCTCTAGGGAGCAAAGCCCACGTCCTCCCCATTTTCCACAGGGCAGATGTCAAGTTTGGGGCGGCGGCATACGTGTGCATGCACTGCCATGCCACGAGGAGAGGGAGGAGCGACAGTCAAACTCCTCGAGCTACAGCCCTCCGATCCTACACACACAGGGTGATGTTTGCTCCCCCAGACCCTTGGCCTTGCTCTGCCTGAAGAGCCGGTGCAGAATTGCTCCTCTCCGCACACATATACTTGCATGTGTCCCAGCCAAGCAGAAGGGTCTTAGTCATGTGTGTGGGCAGGCATGTGTGCATGTGTCCTGAGTGCCTGTCTCTCCGTATTGTGTTTGACTCTAACTTTGATCCTGGGTTTGTTTTCTAACTGCCTGTGTCCTGCCTCTCCCCACTTCTCCCTGCCCGACTCTGTCCCCCGCGCTCCCTCCCTGCAGGTTTTACTGGGACCTCATCATGCTGCTACTGATGGTGGGGAATTTGATCATCCTGCCTGTGGGCATCACCTTCTTCAAGGATGAGAACACCCCTCCCTGGATCGTTTTCAATGTGCTTTCGGACACTTTCTTCTTGGCTGACCTGGTGCTGAACTTCCGGACAGGCATTGTGGTGGAGGACAACACGGAGATCATCCTTGACCCTCACACCATCAAAATGAAGTACTTGAAGAGCTGGTTCCTGGTTGACTTCATCTCTTCCATCCCAGTTGACTACATCTTCCTCATTGTTGACCTGGAGACCCAGGTGGATTCTGATGTCTACAAGACAGCCCGGGCCTTGCGCATCGTCCGCTTCACCAAGATCCTCAGCCTGCTGCGCCTGCTGCGCCTCTCGCGCCTCATCCGCTACATCCACCAGTGGGAGGAGGTGAGAACCCCTTGGGGGTCCCAGGCCCCTGGTCAGTGTCTTGGGCCAGGTCAGGGATCCCTGGCTGTGGGGTAGGGCTGGCTGGAGGGCAGGGGTTCAGAGGGCTGTTCTGGGAAAAGAGTTTCTCTGTAGCTCCACTCCTGCCTCTTCCCCAGATCTTCCATATGACATACGACCTGGCCAGTGCTGTGGTGAGGATCTTCAACCTCATCGGCATGATGCTGCTGCTGTGTCACTGGGACGGCTGCCTCCAGTTCCTGGTGCCCATGCTGCAAGACTTCCCCGAGGACTGCTGGGTCTCCATGAACCATATGGTGGTGAGTGCCCCGGGCGACACTGGCCATGCATCTACTGGGTGGGGGGGAGGAGAGGATTTGGTCTCCTACTCTAAGGCTGGAGCTGCCTGGATCCACGTGCTGCGGAGCAGCGTCTCTCTGGTCACAGCCCTGCAACAGCAGTGAGATGTGGTAGAGGGAATCTCTGCATCACCTTCCCATCTCAGCCCACCTTGGCTGTTGCTGGAGTCAGAGCAGCCAGGGGAGTCCCTCGTGCCCTGCCAGGAGGGAACAGGGCAGTGGGGCTCCTGTCTCCTCCCCCAGGCCCAGGCCCAGGGCTTTGCACAGTCCCCAATGCCTCCTTCCAGAGCAGAGCTCTGCCCTTTGGGCTTGAACACATCAGAAACCTTTTCCTCGCTGGGGCTCTGGACTCCCTGGCTCTGGGGAGGGGGGACTGGAGGGTTCAGCCCAGCAGCTCCTTCCGACAGACCCCCCAGCGCCGCTGTTCCCTCGTCTGCAGAACGACTCCTGGGGGAAGCAGTACTCGCACGCCCTGTTCAAG